AATCTTTTCACATTTAAAGTGTGCATTCAACATTTTTGCCAGTTGCATGGCTGTTAGTCATTTTAAGGTTAAAAAAAACAACACTAACTGTGAGTGTGTGTGACTGTTTGCTAGAGTTGTGCGAGGTCCTGGAGACAGAGGAAGCCGGGTCAGAGGCTCAGGTGTCGGGACCGGTCCAGTACCAGTGTCTCGACTGTCTGGCTTTGTTTGACTCGCCTGAGACATGGCTGGAGCACCGGCGGACCCACAGCAGGAGCAGCACACACAGTAACACAGAACCCACGGTAAGGGATCAAACATATGTTGACAAAGACTAATCAGTATTTAATTGTTTTAATTATTGAGTACAAATGCATACGTTTTTTTGTTATTATCAGAATTGAGTGGAGGCTGCTTAACACAATAATAGTTGTTTTGTCTGTGAAAATAAGCTGCCTGCTGAAATTGATGTTGTATTTACACCATGTAATTATGCACTGAGATAGATAAAACAGGCCTTGTTATGCGCACTCCTTCACATCCTCTTAATACAAGATTTTGTTTAGCTATTACCCTTCTTGTAAATCATCAGCTGAATTGTAATTTTATTTTAATACAACACTTGGCCAAATCTTTGAACGTAGTGGAGCAGAAAAGGAGACAAAACATGCTTTTATTTTCTACCATGCTGAGTCATTCATGTGTGCACAGCCCAAAACAGTTAAAGTGATAGTGGTCAAAAGCTGGTAATATTTTTCTGTGAATCTAAAAGCAAGCACTTCAGGAAATCTCTAAGTGATGGTGACAGTGTTAAAATGCACTTACAACTGTGTCTGACCATGCATTCATTACTTTTGAGTCATGCCCATATGCTGTAGATTGTGTTAAATTTGCAACACTGTCAGAATTTATTTCAGTGACTCTCTTATTTGGGTTGTGTAGGGCAGCACAGACTGGCTTGCTGCGATTATACTGTAATTTTAGACAGCACGAGATCCATAGACATCCGGTCTCCAAGCATCTGATAATCTACTGAAATAAATGAATGAGTGACAGCAGATCTAAAATGTTAAAGCGTCTTTGCTATTCTAAAATCTGATATCACTGACTTATTTTGTAGCATTGCCTTAATTGAAAGTAGAAATTTAGTAACTGACGTTCATTTCTTTTGCCCTTGCAACAGGAGTATGTGCTACAGCCTGATGGCACCGTCACTCCACTGAACAGTATGCAGAACTACGTGCTGAGTGAGCAGCAGGCTGGGGAGATCCTGGCGCAGGTACTTGGGATAGTAAACATCTCACAACGGAAGCATAGATTTGAGGACTAGATGAATGGTTTTAGGGTTTCACTCTCTTTAAGTTCTTCTCTTTACATTTCTCTGTGTATTTTCCAGGTACTTGCCCAGCAGCAGCAACAACAACAGAACAAGAAACGTCAGTCCGCTTTTAAAGCTGCTGCACCCTCCCGGTCCTCCCTGCTGCCTCCTGTGACACCGACCCCTGGCTCTGCCACCATGCACCTGCAGATTCTCACGGCTCAAGCCTTGGCAGACAACTGCACCGCCCCCACTCAGCGCCGCTCCAAGCTGCCTCCTCTGTTGCCTGCTGTCGGCCGAGGCTCATCAGCAAAGCTGGGGGTCATGGAAAATGGTGTCCAGAGACTGGAGTTAAGGTTGGCTCCCACTGTCCAGGAGCAGCAGCAGCAGCCAACAGAGGTGGTGGTCATCCACCCTTACGAGTGCTCAGAGTGCTCCCTTCTCTTCCAAACTCCAGAGGACTTCCTCCAGCACCAGGGGGAGCACTTCCTGGGCCAAGACAAAGAGAGTGGAGAGTCGGGGGTCATGAGTGGCTGCGAGGAGGCACGAGGGAGGGAAGAGTCTACAGAGAAGGTGGAGGACATTAGGATCAGAGTGGCAGAGAAGAAAGAAACAGTCTGGGCCAAGCCACAACAGTGTGAGCTCTGCAACCGCACCTTCACCTCAGTCAACCGGCTGGCTGCTCACAAACGTGTGCACGAGCAGGGCACACACGAATGCCCAGAGTGTGGCAAGGTGTTCAAGAAAGCAACATCGCTGCAGACGCACATGCGCACACACTCTGGTGTGGCCAGGTACCTGTGTGTGGACTGTGGCAATGGATTCACCACTGAGATGACTCTCATCATGCACAGGTAAGAGGTTTGGAGACACCAACACATCCTAGAATATGATGAGAAACTGTCCTGTTGACTTTTTCTGTCTGTTTCATCTGATTTCTTGCAGGAAGTCCCACACTGCAGATCCCCTTCACAAGTGTCAGTTCTGCCACAAAACCTTCACCAACATGACCAAGTACCTCTACCACCGTCGCACCCACCTCAACCGTGATACATCTGGCACACCGGCCGCTCACTCTATGGTAGTTAGCATATGCATCTCCCAGTTGTGTCCACAACCTCATGTTAGTATGACATTTTAATGTAACATTTGCCTGTTGTCCCCTGTAGGTCTCAGCTCCAAGAAGAGCATCGCTCTCAGCCCTTGCCATCCTACAGAGAGCAAGAGAAAAGAGGAATTCCCACACAGAAACCAACCTGCTGGCCCCTCTCACAGAGGAAGAGATGGAGAAACTGGGAGAAGCTCCAATACAAAGCTCTCAAATTAAAATGGAAGGAGGTGAAGTGGAGATGAAGGGGGCAGACAACAACATGGAGGTGTCTGCCCCACTTGAAGATAACACTGATGACTCACAGCAGGTGGAGGATGCCACCAAGTCTGGCTTAGCTACAGACCCTGCTCCCCTGGACGACACTGATGCAGGAGTCACGTTTAGCTCCACAGAAGCTGCTGCAGCTGCGTCATCAGACAAAGGGCCTTTTTCTTGTCGTTCATGCTGTAAGACCTTTCCCTCCCAGCTGCAGCTTGTTCAACATCGACGCAAGTCCCATGTCACTGAGCGCAGCTTTGTGTGCGGAATCTGTGGCAAGTCTTTTAAGAAGCAGATCCACGTGCGCAACCACATACGAACACATACCGGCGAGAGGCCATTTCAGTGTTCCGACTGCGGCAAAACCTTCTCTTCTCTTGCCAATCTAATGAGGCACAACCTCATCCACTCTGGTGTGCGCCCATACCGCTGTGATGTCTGCCACCGCTCCTTCTCACAGTCCTCCAACCTCCGTCAGCACAGCCTGCTTCACTCCAATGCTGCAACTCTGTGCTGCCCCGACTGCCCCGCCACCTTTCGCTGGCCCACGAAGTTAGCAGCACATCGCTATACCCAGCACCAGGGGGCTCCAGCCCCTTTCTCCTGCCCTCACTGTGAGGCTGGCTTCCTGAGCAGGAGGCAACGAGACAGCCACTGTCTGGGGCAGCACCCCACCCTGGTGCAGGCTGGTACAGGGATAGAAGTGGGCAAAGAGACCCACAACCAAGCGGAGCTGGGTGAAGACCTGACCTCAGAGCCCTCCACCTCAGCAGCAGTAGAGACACAATCAGGGGATTCAACCAGTCTTGTGCGGGGAGGTCTAGATTGCAACATTTGTGGGAAGAAGCTCAACTCTCCTGCCAACCTGCGACTTCACAGACTGAGCCACTTTGCTTTAGGCCCCGGGCGACCGCGGTGCGCCACTGGGAAGCGGCCTAAAGCCCACCAGTGTCCTATCTGTGGGAAACAGTTTGTGTCTTCCTCCGGAGTTGCACTTCACCAGCGAGTCCACACTGGTGAGCGCCCGTTTCCCTGCCAAGTGTGTGGCAAGCGCTTCCGTCAGAACACACACCTGCGAGAGCACCTGCGCACACACTCGGGGGAGCGGCCCTTTCGCTGTGAGGTATGTGGAAAGGGTTTCATCCAGAGTATGCACCTGGCTGAACACCGTCGAACACACACGGGCGAACGGCCGCATGTTTGTCCTCTGTGTGGCAAAGCCTTCAAGACCTTCTCCAACCTGAGGAACCACAAAAAGACCCACGCCAGACAGCAGAGGCTGGATGAGGAGGCTGCTGCTCAAGCTGCCATGGAAACCAGCTCTGCTGTGGCAGTGGTGGATGCTTCAGCAGTGGAACTAGCTAACGGGCAGCCTCAGCTCATCCAGATCCACGCCTCAGATCTTCAGCAGGTCAGAATGAATTTACTCCACCTAATCAATAAAGAAGCATGACACTGCCATTTGAAAGCACTGAAATTTTAGGTGAATAATTGAAATCTGAACAGTTAAAGTGAGTGAGAGGATGACATTTAATCAGCACCTGTAAATGTGTTTGTGTACTCATTCTCTGCTGTTGGCTGAACTTACTCCGAGTTCTGTTTCCTCCTCTTAGACACAGGGAACTCCTACTATAATGTGTAACGAGTTCGGGGAGACCATCGCCATCATTGAGACGAGTGAGGGAGGAGCACTGCCTCTGGAGCAGGCCTTGGAGATCTATCACACAGCTTTGGAGAACGGCCTCGCCATGGACACAGTTGCTGTGGATGGCTTGCAGCTCCTCTGAGGACTAATACCAGTCAGAAAAACTAGAATTAATTCTCTAGAGCTACTGCTGGACTGATGAGTCTTAATACAGACTGAAACAGACTAATTGAATACTGTGAGGGTGAGGATTCAGTCCTGAGTAATAATTAACTGGAACCAGAATGCTGAAATGACAAATCCATATTAAGTTCAGCAAACACACCAAAGTATGTCAACTTCCCTCTTTGTGTACTGAAATGATGCATACTAAAATTAAGAATATGGCATTCATTATGAATAAGGACCATTGGTTGTGCCTCATGACATTTGTATGATTAAATTTGTCATTTATATGAGATGGATGTGATTTTTTTTCCCTCTGTTTAAAGGTTAGTTCATAATTTTGAAACAAAGTATTCCGTTGTAAATAAGTGAAATCAATAAATGTTTTTTCAAGATGATTAAATTAAATTTCACATATCCAGAGTCACTGCTGTACACTGTAAAAGTAATGTGAACCTTACTTTGATCAGCTGCTGTTACGTCTAAAGGGGCTGGATAAAAAATAGAATTCTATTTAGAAAACATTTTAGAACCACGCCATTTATTTTATCTCTGCTGAAGGAAAACCCATTTTTCACATTTCCAGCAATAAAATCACTTTAATTGAACACCTATTTTTATTTGCATACTGAAAGATACAGTTACAAACTTAAATTATTCATATAAATTCCTCTCTTGCATACTGGAACAGCAAAACAAGGAGTATAACACAAAAACATTAATAGCCATATTTATTATTGTTTTTCCATTTCATGTGTTTTACCTTCGGTAATGGGTGTCTTAAAAGTCAACTTATGTTCAATGACAGATTTTTCCTTATCAATAATATAATGAGTCTACTGACTCTACAGTAATTATTTACAACACAACCAAGTCTTGCACAAAGACACAACCAGTATTATATCCTACCAGCTCTCTTTGATTCATTACCCTCCTCTCACTTACCCCAGTTTTCTCTCCGTCCGTCTAAAAAGGAGGTCTGGAGAGAGCAATAAAGTGACAAAGGGAGGAAGGAGGGAAGGAAAGAGGTGGAGGAAAGAGATGTACAAGTGTTGAGGCTATAGAGTCAAACTTAGCGAGGGACAGAGGCATACAAGGTTGTTGAAAAACATACTGCTTATTACTGTTGAAAGGATATAAAGGTCCACGTTGAGTTTGTCTTCCTCTTTGAAATGAATCATAAAAATAACTGCACCACAGGTCCTTGCTGAGGTGAGGCAGTCAAGGGAAGACTACAATGGAGTAACTGTACAGGTGTGGAGCAGCATCTCTCACCTGCCTTCAAAATTATATATAAAAAAAACTAGAACAAGCAATCAACAGCTGGCAGAAATTAAGGAAACATCTGCCAGCAATGAAAGTAGAACTAAGGACCAGGATCCACTGCAGTGATAGGAGTAATAACAATAACCATATGAATAGTACAACAACAAACTTAATATGACCATGTTAAATACAAATCAAATTATTTTTAAAAAAGTTAATAAAACTGCTTGGCAATGGAGGATTAAGGCTGTAACAGCCTGACCTCTACAACTAAGAGCCAGGATGTGCCCATTGACTCTGACCCACCTCGTTCCTTCATGGCTAGCGAATGAGAGGCACAGGAATGCTTGGTTCCTACCTACTGGCATGTGCTCGGGTCAGTTGTGAGAAATGAGGACTTGGCCAGACAGGTAATTGCAGGAATGATGGCACTGCCAGAAGTCCACTAACATTTCAGTCGATTTTTCAGTCTCTCCTGGTAGACCCCTCCTGAAGGTCTACATGCGAGCAGTGAAATGGTGAAAAAGATATTTCCAGGTCCATAGCAATGAGTGCTTGTGAAATCAATCTTGTCAAATCAAATAGTTTCCAGCTGTTGAGGGCCCAGCCCCCGAATGTCAGCAGAAACAAGAAACAAGCTTACAACAGTTCAGTCTACATACAGGTTGTTCCTCAAGCAGAAACATACTGCTTTTACTCATCTAACCCTGTTAAAAACAAATATCAAAACATGTAACATCCTTTTTTTTCTTCTTTTTTTTTTTTTTTTTAAAACTGCTGACTTTTCACCATCTCAGAACGGGTTAAGCAGGTTTCTCCGTCCAAAACAAGAACCCTTTCATCTTCGAGGCAAATGAGTGCAGCTGTACACAATGGTTCTTCGTTCACTGGCATCAATGGGAGCTTCCTGCAAGGTGGTTAATACAGAGTGCTAATTCAAGTGTGGGATTTAAGAGTTTGCAGGTTGTGTGCCGGTGTTGTGGTAGTTTTTGTGCCACTGCTTTTTCACATGTCCTTTTTTTTGGTACAATGGTCACAAATTAAAAAAAAAAAATCTCAACATTGCATACAAACATCTCTTACTCTCAAAAGGTTGGCTGCTGAGGATAGAAAGAAATCAGGATCTGATCAGTGGAAAGCAAAGAGGGTGGATTTAAAAAAAAAAACTGGAAACTTGAAAGTGTGTAGGGCATGAAGATGAGTGACAGCAACAGTCACTGATTGGTCAATCTAATTAGTCAGCATCCCTCATCTGCAAGAGTCCTGTGAGTCCCGTGTTTCCTCTGGGCTTAGGTCTGTCCCCTGCTCCACTTCTTCATCCTGCAGGTCCCCGCCCCCTCTCCCAGATCCTTCTCCTGCCTGGGAACCAGAAGGTCCAGGGAGGGAGCAGGCTGAGTCAGAGATACCTAAACCAGAGGCATCGGAGGGGGCAGCGGTCTGCATGATCTTCTGCCGGACCTCCCTGATCTTCAGCTGCAGACACACCTTGGTGGGAAATATGTCAGAGTATCTCGTCTGGAAGGCTGCAGTGGCCTGAGCTGGAAGCAACATAAAAAAAAAAATTTCAAAGTCAAAAAATGAATGTCTGCAAGTGGGAATTCATTCTGAAAATGTTTGTATATACAGTAGGGAGTATGTGCTTGTGTCTTACCTGATGGAAAGAAGCCCTGCTCCTGGAACAGCTGCATGACCAGTGCTCTCCTCTGGTCCAGTGTTCGTCGCAGGGAGGAGTACGGCACCTTATCAAACTCCAGTTCTGCCAGGATGTCTTCTCCATCTGTGGCTAGGAGACGGGACAAACAGATGGAGTGGATGAATCTTCAGGAAACTGGTTACAGAAATGAATTATGTCCCTCCCCATGCACTCCAAAAGGTGGGATCCATTTGAAAAAAAACACAGCAGTAGGCAAAACATTACTCTAAGCCACTGATTCCTATTTAACCCATATATAGAGTTTCAAACTAGTCCTTACATCAGTTAAATTTTTTTCCATATTTGGTTATGTACTTCCAACTATTATATGGTTACTTGGTTCTGACAGTTAGTTTTTTTTTTTTTTTTAAATGGTATGTGTGGTAGATTCTCAGTGAGGTTGAAGTAACTATGTAACATTAAAAACATTACAGTGAAAGCACAGTGCAAACACTAAAAAAAGAAACACCAACAAGAGCTCTCTACCCAGCCCCTCATCCTACGCTGCTATTACATACATCCTGCCCAGAACAAAATGTAATTGTCTGTCTTAGTAGTGCTCTTGCTTTTCTCGGTGCGTTACCTGCTCTGTCGAAGGTGAAGATGTCTCCCTCACACTTTGCGGCACTTTTGGGCGTGTTGGGCTCTGAGCTGCAGCTTGAGCGCCGGCGGCTTTTTCTTTTAGGAGAGACTTGATCGTCAGTGGCTGAGTCCAAATCTAGAAGCACACAGAGGAAGCAAACTCATTTTAAAACCACCAACATGAAGTGCATCTTTTACCAAAGAGCAAACGTGAAATTCAACATGTGAATGACACATTCAGAAAATACTTTACTTTAATTACTGTTGAATTACACTAATGACACACATATACACTGGTAACGGGCGGCTGTGGCTCAGGAGGTAGAACGGGTCATACACTAATCAGAAGGTGTCGAGTCCGCATGTCGAAGTGTCCTTGGGCAAGATGATGAACCCCAAGTTGCCTGTGATGGCTGTTTCATCATTGTATGAGTGTGTGTATGGTACAAGTGCTGTATGAATGTGTGTGTGTGTGTGTGACCGGGTGAATGTGGCTTGCAGTGCAAAGCACTTTGAGTGGTCAATAAGAATAGAAAAGCGCAATATAAGAGCAGTCCATTTACCATTTAACAATGAAACAACAACAGCAGAGCTCAAATATCCATCAAGAAAATCTTGAGAGTATCACACATTTAAATCTTTGTTTTGATAAAAACTGTGAATATCTGCTTTTCTCTAAATGCTTGAACATCCATGACAAGTCACTGCAACTATACCCTACAGATTAGGCCTGCAACTGTCAATTATTTTCATTATCGCTTAATTTTCTGATTATTGGCTTGGTTAATCAATAATCATTTGGTCTACTGACGCCAGAAAACAGTGAAAAATGTATGTCACAATATCCTCGATGACATATTAAATGTCTTGTTTTCTCCAAGCAACAGTCTAAAAATCTTCAATTTACTATGATGTAAGGACAAGAAACAGATCTGATAATCTGGAACCATGAAATGTTTGGCATTTTTGCTTGAAAAATTACTCAATTATCAAAATAGTTGCCAGTCAATTTTCGTTCAATTCAACTAAAGATACAAATCTAAAAGCATTTAGTCAGACTATCATAAAAAGGTATTTTGAGTAAGACCTGTAGAGTTCTTCCTCTTGCGACGATAGCTGCCCAGAATTGCGCGGGGTGAAGTGGCCAGACTCTGCAGGGTGGGTGAAGGCAAAACCTCCTCAGGCCGAAACTCTGGCAGCTCCGCAAAGCGCTCCTCAAAATACACCTCTGACAGCACCCTGCCAGACCAACACACACACACACACAAAATACAGAGTGTATATATACACTGTCCACCAATAATTTTTCTAACCTTAAATAAAAGATTCATAAAGGTGTTAACTCACTTGTCCACAGAGTCAAAAGTCTTCTTTAGAGGTGGTGGGCGGGCTTTAACCTTTTTGGGCGCAGGACCCTCTTTGTCAGTCTGTGGGGGAGGCAGGGCAGGTTCTGTGGCTGATGGAGGAGGGAGAGGAGAAGAAGGGAGGGACTCCTTCCATCCAGTCTGCACAGAAAGTTAAATTCAAGTATTTTAAACAGTCACAGAGATGTTATGTGTCAACAACAACAGGGTAGTTTTTTCTGTTTGTATTACAGCTGAAAGCCAGTGCGTGATGTTTCTCTCACCTCTTTGGCGGTTGTGCTTTCCCTGGTCCTTGTGTCAGAGGAGTCCGCTGCACTGGAGCTCTCCAGGGCTCGGTCAGAGGATGGCGGCTCCTCGGCAGGATGTGTTGATGGAGACGCTGTCTGCCCTGCCGGCTCAGGATCAAAGGAGAAGTGACTGTTGGCCGCAGCTTCCCTTTCTCGCTCTCTCTCCTTTTCACGCTCTCGCTCCCTCTCTCGTTCCCTCTCTCGCTCCCTATCCTTTTCCCGTTCTCTCTCTTTTCCTCTTCCTCCTCCTTCATAGCTGCCCACGGGTATGTTTGCCACTGTTGCCTTCACTTTCTGAGGGGTCCTGACTGGAAGCTGGGTGAGTTTGGGTGTACCTGGTGTGCTACCTGTAAAATAAAGATAAAATGAATAAATAAAGAATGAAAGAAAATAATTCACTATAAATTATAACCATGCAAAGTTAGTCTTGGATATATAAAAGACAAATAAAAAAAAATAAAAAAACATGTACCAGGTGTTTGGATTTGAAGTGGAGGACTGCAGGGCCTTATGGACACAGCTGAGCCACTGGGAGGTGCCACTGAGCTGCTACTGCTGGAGGTCTGCATCTGCCTCTCAAGCTGTCTGTCCGAATGTGTCAGCAGCTCTGTCTGCCTCTCCGCCTGCCTTTCAGCTTGTCGATCTGCAGGTCTGTCCAGAGGCAGGTGCCTGTCTGCCTGTCTGTCCGGATGTGGGTGTGTGATTGTGGCGGGTGTTGCTGTGTGTTTGGGCAGGATGTGAGGGGAAGCACTGGAAGGGCTGGAGACGGAATAGACCACGCTGGGGGGCACTGCTGTCATGGAGACCACCCCTGTTGCCATAGTGACGCTAGGTGAAGGAGGGTAGATGGCGGTGACTATCTGGCCCCCGGAGCCTGAGGCGGGGGCTGAGGTGGAGGGCTGTGGAGATTGAGCTGTGGCTATGAGCGGTGGCTGACCTGGATGAAGGAGACAGAACATTTTCACATGAATAAATGTCCATATTTCTTCTCTGTTGCCAATTAACATAACAAACATAACACAACCACTGTTGGTCCAGATTTGTCCTGTGAATGAGGTTTATACATGGAGTGAGGTGTTAAGGCAGTCCTACTGTCACAGTGTTGGCCAACTGAAACTGGTTGAAAGCCACACCACACCAACTACTGATCATCAAATATTTTGTCAAAGCACATGTTTGTATAGGTATTCAGTAAAGAGACAAATGTGGATATTGCAGTTCAGGGGTCAGCAATTACGTTAATCCATAGGCCAGTTGTTTCAGCATTGTTCATTGGATGGCCAATGTTTTAATCATGCAGCGGACACACAGGCCTACATTTTTTCAGTATATTTTATTTATTTATTTATTTTTCATGTAAGAATTAATTGAAGGTATTAAACTGTTTCTAGGTGGGAGATTTTTTCCCTTAAAGCTGCTTATGTTAATACTAATTTCTAAAACTAATATATGCAAATATATGTTCTGTGTTAAACCATGAGACTAGAGCTGTAATTGATAGGTTAACCACACATGATGACACTGGCAGACTTCATTTATAGTTGAATAAAATTCATTAAAATTGTGAAATTTCAACTTTAAATGAAGCAGATAGTATTATTGATCTGTTATTCATCCATTAATTTCATTTCAGCACCCTGCACTGTTCACTTGGCACAGAATGAGACATACTTGTATGTCCCAAACCCATACTACATACTAAATCTAGGCAGGTTTTGAGAATGTACATTAGTGTGTTCCCATTAAAAAAAAGTGAGTGCATAAAGTATATTCAAACCAGACTGTATGCATACTAAATATGTCCATTTTTGAGTGTGCTGTTGATAGACACTATTCTTCCACAAAGTCCAAAGGAAATGGGGAAGTAACACACCACTGGAGGACAACTAGAATAAACTGTAGATGGTAGTGAAACAGCTTTTGAAAGATAATGAAAAACAAAAAATATGTTTATAATCTTAGGAAAAAACTTTGTGATGTCTCCATGTGAAGTTAAGTTGGAAAGGGCTTTCCTGAAGTTGCAACTTGATTGGCGCTGGACCTTATACACATTTAGTATAAAATAATGATGTATGGTGCTTTTTTGTGAACCAAGTGCCAAAGCAGTTCACTATAACAAGTTGTATGTGGTATATGCTGTATAAAATTTGGATGTAGTATGGCTTTAATACACAGCTAGTACTCATGGTATGCTTGTCTTCATGTGGGCACAGTATTAGATATTATGAGTTCATATTTATTGGGATTTAAATGAGCCTCGTATTTATATTATTTTTTAGCTAACTAACTTCAACATTTGTCAAGAGGCCAAATATTTTAGCTTGAGCCGATTTGTCGAAAGGGGATTTTGTGTAACTCATTTCATACAATACTTTATAAGCTACTTTTTGTGTTTGTAAAGAACAGAGGCTATGAAATCATCTTTCCATGGCACTGACCTGCAATCAGTGGCTGAACCAATGTCTGTCCAGGTGGTGCGATGGCTGTAAACCCGAGTGTTGCTAGGGGCGAGGGAACATATGCAGATCCAGGCACTGGCAGAGCTTGCTGGGTGGGGGAAGAGCCTGTTGCCGTGGAGACCAGAGGCAGAGTGGATGGGACCCCTGGAGTGGACTGGACATAGGTGATCCTGGACAGGAGCAGGAGAGGTGATTAGAGGGGAGAAACTGAAAATGAGGAATTGAAATAAAAGGTGAAGAAGGCCAACAGAGACACAGGGAGAAGTAGATGACATTTTTGTAATGAAAAATGTCGAGAAAGGTGTAGTAGCAGTGACAGAAGGTGTTAAAGTATAATAACGAGGCAGAATAGAAATGATGGGAACAGACATGATTATTAAGAAAGAGGAAGACAAAAAGAGAAGTGCTGCAGAGGGGGGTCAGTGGTTGAGTGTACATCACAGAGAGCAGCACTGGATGACTAGTGCTCTCTCTCTGTGTGTGTGTGTGTGTGTGTGTGTGTGTTAGAAGCTGAGAGGTAGTGTGGGGGTGGCAGGCAGAGGCAACTTGGGCCACCAGCAGCATGACTAACACATCCAGAATAGAGCTGCACTGCTACAGCTGCACCCCTGCTGGAGTTTTTGTTTCTCATGTTGTCTGCTCGCTGTGCTTTAAGAAATCCGGACTGCACTACAACTTCATGCTGTTCGGTATTATTTATGCCACCTTAACTCAATCAAGTACCAGAATGTGCCTTGAGTTACTTCATTCCATAAACTAAGAGGGAAAAATAATATATTTATTTTGATAACAACTGTTTGACAGTAATCAGCTTTTGCTGAAAATTGTTTTGTTTAAAACTTCAAGAATTAACTGCCCCATTTGAAAAGGTATTTCATTGTTTCAAATGGCTGAATAAACCTTTTTAACATCTCTAGTGGGTGATAATTGTCATGTAAACACTCCTCCTGGCTGCTTTCTATCACACTTTCTATGCATGCTCACATCATTATTTTAAGTCCAAGATTGTTGCTGAGGGATTATCTTTGGTTAAGTGATGTTTACTAGTTTTAGGTAGATTCTGAGTCACTCTGAGTCCCATGAATGGCTTGCCTGCTCCAATTTAATGATTCCAAGAGTAGTGTGTGTGTGTGTGTGTGTGTGTGTGTATATATTTATTAAAAAAAAACATGCTTCAATAGCAACCATAGCAGTGAACCAACAAAGCGGCACAATGCTGGTGCACCTTTTCAAACATTTTCACATGAGTTGGATTTCCTTTTTCTAAACATGTATTCTGGAGCACAGCACGTCTGATCCATTTCTTCTCTGAAGCATTTATGTATTTTCATGGAAGCCATCAGTCAGATTTCTTTCATACAGGAAAAAAATGACTGACAATAATTGAACAAATACTGAGATCAACAGAAGCCCAGGATAGGATGAGTAAAGCTGGCATATGTTCCTAAATGGGTGCCTGTTTGTCAGGGCTGAGTCAACCTTTTCTGGCACAATCTGTAATTTGTTTATAGCCCCTTTCAGACATCTGATCTGTAACAGTGTTGGGTTCATCTAGCTGTTAAAGAAATAGCTTTTAAGCTTTCAACCAGTCTCCATTATAGAGCGTTACATGTCGACTCACAACACGAGTGTTATCAAGAGAGCAGCAGTGCCCAAGCGTAAGTGGAACTCTAAAATCCTTTTTCCCCTCCTTGCCACACCACAGCACTACTGGAAAACAGCAGTGAATTAGTAAAAGTTGACATTAAGGTGGAAGAGTCAAAATACATGCTGCGTCAATTATGAAAAATAAAACTTTATGATAAAAATAAAGATTTTGTCATTGACATTTTATCCTTACCATTTGATTGTCAACCATCTACCATGCTAACTGATAATTTTTATTTAATTCATCCACTAGGATTACGCGCATACATAAAACATGCTGACAAGCTCTTCCAGTGAGGTTTGTAAAAAGAAACACATTTATCCAAGTTCTGGCTTTCAAATAATTCCTCAGTTTGCTCACACGCTGGTTATTCTATACATTAAATTAATTATCAATATAGTGTAAAATGTGCCAACAGCCAGGTGAGCATTTCTACAGAAGCCCAATATTCATGTTAAATGATGTTTTGACCTATCATCAGGCCATGCAGTGGGTATCAGGGAGTGCTTTGCAAACCTACTCTCACCTAAGCAAAGAGCAGATTCTCTGTGGCTTGACCCAGCCTTGTATCTGCTGTAAAAATGTTGTATTTTTGTGGTAAGCATTTTGCTGGATTTTCAGCAAAATCCTTGAACTGAAAGAAGCTGAAAATTTAGGGCAAATGTGCTGGTAATCTAATCAATGGAATTTGCCAAGGAGGATTTTTATTTCGCTATGTTCCCCTGCACTGCTAGATAAAATAAATCCTCGATGGAAAAAAAAACCACATCATTACAAATATTCTCACCTGAAATGTGAAGAGAACACCATGAATATCTCTTCTTGCTCCTCTCGCTTCTCTTTTTGAATTGGCTCATTCACAGTATTTCGTTTATAAAATAATTTATTAAACAGATTTAATTTTCTTGCACACAAGGAATGATAATTAGGCTAACATATGAATTTATTACCCAGCTGTCTTCAGAGGGCATCACAAGTCACACATTTAATAGACGTATGTGTATAAACACTCATGTAGATCACATTTAGTCAAGATTTAATTCCAGAGTGAAGGAATAAACACTTTTTACAAACATGATACCAAAGTGTTTCTTACAGTCTTTCAGTGGCAGGTACGGTAGGTGGATTTAGTCTAATGAAAATAAAGACTTTCTAAACAGACAACTACAGTAAAGCATTTCAAAGTCAATTCAGGATAATTTTCATCGTTGAACACTTATCTGTTTGTTTGTTCTGGAGTACCAAGGTGGTGACGTTTACCACATCAGCACATACTATAAGCCCTTAGTTACTTGAAATTGTTATGTTGCACAATATTCCTGTTGCTATCTGTCCTGTTCAGCAGCGGATGCCCAAGTGCAAAATAAAAAGCATATAAAAGTGGCGTTGTAGGTTCAAAAAAGTAGAGGATCTATATTCATTGTTTCAGTGCAGTTTGTTTTGTGAGTTATTTCCTACCTGGTAGGTGCTGGTGGCAGTAGTACAGCCTGGGAAGGCGCTGATCCTGGAGCCACCACAGCAGCTGTGCCTACTGTTACGGGGAAGGGGCTGGCAGGGTGCACTGCTCCGCCCTGAGGCAGCTGAGACTGGACCACAGGCATGGGCGCTATCTGAATGATCTAAAGAGTCATGGAAAGAGAAGGCCATGAAGAAAATCGAAGGACAAATACAAATGTATTATTGGACAATACAAGTAGTGAGATACATATTTGTTTTTACTTGGCGTTGCTAACAAAATCTTAATGATTTCTAAAGTTCTCATATCAGTGTGTTCAGTTAAGTGCTAACTGACCTTGCTTCCAGTCTGAGCACCGTTCTGGACAGGAAGAGGTGGAGCCACAATGGGAAACTGCTGGGCAGGGGCTGGCGCAGTCCGTACTGTTGCCATGGGAACAAGCATTTTACCCTGGAGCACTGGAGATTGTGTTTGTACTAATGCAACAACAGAAGGGGGGGGGGGGTTTATTAGGAGTCACCACAGATTTTTTGGTATATGTATCTGAGCCCTTGTCATGACTCTGCTTTGCTTTGCTGTCATGACTGCAGATTTAATGCTCTCACCTCGAGTTCCCGGGCTGACCACTCCCACTGCTGGGCTGGACGTATAGCCTGTCAGTGAACTTGTACCCTGCTGCTTTCCATTGGCTAAGGACACGTGTGCGGGTGGAGCTGTGGGCAGGTTGAAGATACTGGTTGGCTGGCTGAGCTGCTGAGGTGGACTCTTGGGGTTGGTGTTGGCAGGTAGGGTGGGCAGGATGTACTGAACTTGTGTGATGGCCTTACCCCCGTGGGGTGCCAGCGAGGAAGCAGGAAGGAACTGGGGCTGAAGCAGGGGCAGAGGCAGGGGCCCATTGGTTTGGTTATGTGGAGCTGAAACAGCGGTGGAGGGAAGGGCCTGCTGCTGGGAGGGCTGAGGCTGGGGGGAGGGGGTGATGAGCTGTACAGCAGGTTGAGCAGACAGAGCCCCTCCTAACACCAAATTTGTCACTACACCACCTGGGCCCACGCCTCCACCTACAGGATTAGGTGATGAAGAAGAGTAGTACCCACCCCCTGTGGCTGTGGCCCCGCCTCCTGGTCCTGAACCAATCAGAAGTTGCGGCTGCTGCTGTGGAGTCAGGGACTTCCTCTCTGGTGGATGTGGGCTGGATGAAGTGCCTCCATCTCTGGGTTTGCTGGCAATGGGGAGTGGTGTGCTGATAACAGGACGCATTACATTGGTCACCACAGTAGAGGCCACCCTCACAGCACCAACGCCCAGGAGTGGGTTCCCACCCAGTGAACCCACTGACGAGGATGGAGGCCCTCCAGCTGGAGAAGTGGAAATGACTGACTGACCAGAAGAGAGGGAGAGAGAAGAGGCGTGCACTCCTCCTCCTCCTCCTCCTCCTGCTGCCTCCCCCCCAAATGTGTCCTTACCCTCTCCTTCTCCTCTTTCCTTCCTCCTGTGATCTGAAAACCCTCCCCCTCCTGATCTCCCCTCATCATAACGCTTGTTGGTGGGGTAAGAGGACAGTGAGACACTCCTGCCATGAGGGGTATGGTGTGAGGAAGATGATGCAGTAGAGCAGATGACTGGAGCAAAAACTCTCTGAAAAGAAAGACAGATGAACAGAAAAGGATTTTGAAAAAAGAAAGATACCATAGAAGGCACTTACTTTTAAATGGTAAATCAATCTATATGTGATCAATGAAAAGATGAATAACAGGAGAAAAATAATGTTACCTTTCGATCGCTTTCATCTCCAGAACCGTTATCACTGTCGCTGTCAGTCACCCGCTCCTTACACTTGAGGTCTATGGAACTGCTCGGATAGGGGTCCTCTGTGGAAAATAAAAATATACACTACTTATGCTGCATTGATACAATGTCGACAGAATGGAAAGAACAGGGAAAAAAAACTAACTCTGACTTCCTGATTACCTGGAATTTCAGGTAATATTCCAGTGTAGTTAACCTACCTGCTAACCTTGCAGTCACACCAAATAATTAGCCTAAATTAACTACTTTTGTTTTGTTATGTATTTGAAGCGGCTGATTTCCAAGTGAAACCAGATACAGTGTGTAGCACAGACTAAAAGAGCTGAATTAGTTGTCCTAGCGTTAATAATGGATTTTATTTTAATGTTAATACCAGCGGTGGAGCATTTCCAGACATTCTGCCAAAAGTTTGTTCACAAGTCTGTAGTTCTTCTCACCAAGTGGGAGATAACGTCAATGTCCGAAATTCCCCAATATCTTCCACAGAGAATTATAAGTTGGAGGCTGGCATGAATGTTTTTTCCCGCACTTGACTGCTTGTAATTACAGTTTAAACGATATGACGTGAACGTGGCATGTGTGTCTGAATCAGCTCTCAATGCCATCAAATCTATAAAAATGAAACATGGAAGTGGTCAAAAACTGGACGCAATTTAGCCTATATAGGCTATATTAGTAAGTAAGGAACAAACAGTACAAAAGACAAAAAATAAAACCACATGATGAACAAAAAAATCTCGTGATGGTTTCACAAAGTCTATTGTGACAAAATGACACATGGGCATCATTGCTGACATCAAATATTACAGACTATCTTATTGTACCACTGAATGGGATTTCCAAGTGTAGTTACTGGAAATGTATTAATTGGGTCAGTGACACAAGAAAGTATACTAACACATATCTCTAATTAGTATTTTGCTTCACGAGTAGAGTAAGCCTGATTTCTCACCAATGACATCATCATCTCCCTCCTCTTCACAGATGACCATGCGCTCCTCATCACTGGTCATGTCCTCACTGACCCCCCGCTGGGACTGCGACAGGGGTGGGGCATGGCTTGAAAACTGGCTGCCACCATCGCCACACATCTGAAATCATGAAGTAAAGGATTATAGAGAGAAGATGCTTTTTAAACAGGTTAAAATGGCTGGGGTTTACCATTTGTGTGGGTTCTCTTACTTACAGTGCATCCGGAAAGTATTCACCCCCCTTCACTTCCCCACATTTTGTTATGTTATAGCCTTATTCCAATTTGGATTAAATTCCTTTTTTTCTCTCATCAATCTACACACAATACCCCATAATGACAAAGCGAAAAAGGCGACGCTCCACATCTAACCTGACAGAGCTTGAGAGGATCTGCAGAGAAGAATGGGAGAAATACCCCAAATACAGGTGTGCCAAGCTTGTAGCTTCATACCCAAGAAGACTTGAGGCTGTAATCGCTGCCAAGGGGTGCCTAAACAAAGTACTGAGTAAACGGTGTGAATACTTATGTACATGCGATATTTCAGTTTTTTATTTTTAATAAATTTGCAAAAATTTCTGAAAAAAGGAATTTAATCCATTTTGGAATAAGGCTGTGACATAACAAAATGTGGGGAGAGTGAAGGGGTGTGAATACTTTCCTGATGCACTGTATATATACCAAATTTGTCTGTATTTTGTATATTTTTATCTATGTGAGAAGTTTTATCAAAGAAAAATGCTGAATTTTACTGACACAATCGGCACTCTGTTAAAGAAATATTCAAATTTCTTTTCCAATGTTTTAAGAAGCAAATCTGTCAAATATAACTATTTCCTTTTCAGTGATAGCACTAGAAAACTAACACCATTTGTCCCCACCATTGATGATTGTCTCCACTTCATTGTTTACAATATGCCAGGTTGCATGTTACAGAATAGTCTTTCCAGGTCCACAAGCTGTTCTAATGTCTTACCTGTGCCAGTTCTGCCAGGGCCTGTGTATTACCCCTATCACTCCGCTCCAGGCTGTGCATGGCACTTTGAGAGAAGGCTCGGGGACGGGTAAGCTGGCCCACATGACCCTCTCCTGTACTCCTCTCAGACACCAGACCTGGACCAACCCCCTTCAGCTCCACAGAGTGGGGCTCTATCAGGGGGCATAAAAAGGACTGTTAAAGGACTGGAGAGGATAAAAATACTATAAATTACATGTTTCTGGTATGTGTCTGTTGTTGTACATCATGAGAGTTGAGTGAAACCAACCTGTGGACTCAGACATGCTCCTCTCTCTGATGTCTTTGCCCCCTGGGACCCCACGACCTTCAGAGCTGGACTTCTTCCTGTCTTTGTTGCACCACTTCCAGTCTGGGTGTGCCTTAAAGTGGGCCTCTTTTACCTGGGAAAAGGAGAGGGGACAAGACGGAGGGAGTAAGTGATAAGGAGACAAAAATATAGTACATGCACTATAGGTTGACATAGAAGCTTTCATATGTTAGTCCTTTTGTGGGGCTCTTTGTCTGCAAATGCATCTGTGTACCTGGAAGGCCAAATCGTGGTACTTTTGTTTCTCCTTGGGTCCCAGCGCATACCACCACTCCCCAAGAATCTTGCTGACAGTCCTGTTGTCCTGGTTTGGATGCCTCTGGTGCACCAATGCTCTATGCCGCTTACTGAAAATCATAAAGGCATTCATCGGTCGCCGGATGTGGTCCTTCTCCCGCTGAGCAAGTAAGAAAGAAAAACAAACAGATATTACATTACATGTTTTACTAAAAGGAACAGTAATACTTTTGATGTTCTGTATTAGCAGTGACACGGCTACCTTTCCAGGGCTGCTCTTGTCTCCATCTTTGGGCAGCGCACTGAGGGACTGAGTGCGTCGCTTTACTGGTGATGTAGAGAGGGGCTGCTCTGGTACAACTCCTGGGAGGAAGCTGAAAGGAGACAAAAAACAGCCCTCTGTTTTATAATCTTCAGAAGACATCTTCCCAGAGAACAATACAAACATGCAGCCTTATACATAAGCACTACTTTCTCTTTCCCTCTTAAATATTTAAATATTGAGTAATCTTCTACTTCATATCAAGTATTATGTACCATAGAACTGCAATTCTCTTAGATGTAGACACAGAGCACAAGTAGTTCATCTCTCATGAGATACATTAGCAGATTCAGCAGATAGCTCATCCATTTCAATGGCTGACAGCCTGGCCACTGCCTTTCATATAGTGATAGAGCTCAGAGATGGAATGCTTTTGTTCCCATCTGCTTTGTTCTGGCACTGAGCTCTTCTGCCCAAATTAGCGCGAGGATACAGAAAATATCACACTCCCTTACTGTATGTGTGGGTACACAGTACCACAGAAAATTACTGTGAAGGCTGACTTGGACAAATACAGACAAATACGTAACTGCTCTTGTATATTGACACTGTTGACACGAGGGTAAATATGCAGCATGTGTCTTTGTGTGTTCATGTAACCTCACAGCTTTTCACTTAAAATCACTATAAAACAGAAAAAAAAACTGCACTAACGGGTCATCCACATCACTCTCTGTCTCGCTGTCAGGCCTTTCTCTCTCTGCATCTCCTTTCTCCTTCTCTGGAGGCGGCTCATCAGAGGAGGGGGGAGGCCGGGACGGTGGACCTCTTTCTACAGTGGGAGGTGCCTCTGCAGGCTCCTGTGACAGCGCTGCCACCCCCTGACACTCTGAGGAAAAACAACAAAGGGATGCATACTTGCTCATGGAAAAGTAAATAATATGTGGTATTCAAAACAGTATGAAAACCCAAGGAAAATTACATGAAAGTGGTGATAACACATGTTCTACAGTCATTAAGACAGCAATAAGGTATTCAGTACCTGTCTTCAGACTGGCTGCTTGGGGGTGGTTGACGGGGTGCTGGCCCTCTCCTGGCTGAGAAGCAGCATCTGATTGGGTTGGTGCCAGGAAAGGGACCAATGAATGCCAGGGGAAGACTGGAACTGACCGGGGCTCTACATTGGTCCACACTGCAGAGGAAAACAGTATTACTTATTAACAGCCAACACCATCTGATATCCATAACTTCATAATATGCTCCCCTGCTCAGATATCACATTCAAGAGAACCAGGCCTATTTCCTTATTTGGGGAATCAGGGCCCGCAGTGCAACACTACTAACAGAAATACATTCCTACTCTAATTACCAGCTCTAATCATTTTCTTAAAATTTATTTGCAATGTGATCATGCATAATCATTATTACTAATGGCACAAAAAATAAATATAATGAAATCACCGCCCAATGCTTAGGTTACGGCAATATGCAGAGTACTACTGGCTCATTTTTGTCATCTAACCAGGGGCTGGTTAACATCTGTGACACTAGGTGAATACAATAATTACTTGGAAGAATAGAACAATATCAGTACTTTGAGAACTACCAAGGATATCAGTACTGCCACAGTAGCACACCTCCAGCCACTTAACTGGTTAAATCACTCCAACAACAGCAGATGTACCAAAGGACTCTCTGTTCTCAATAACAGACTGGATAGAGAACAGAAGCTGGTACACTCTGAATGTTCATAATCGAATAAGGGACTGTCTAAGTCATTTTATCTTTCTTTCCATTATTGAAAAAAAACCTCTTAATAAGAATGCATCTCTCAAAAACTTTAAAGTAACAATATCTGCCCCTTTTAAGCCTACAAAAACATATTCAGTAAGAGTGTTAATTCAATTAAGGGTTGCATTATTCTACAAATAAACAATAATGAAATACAGTGGGGTCCAAAAGTCTGACACCACTTGGCTTTTGGACCCCACTGTATGTATACAGATTCAGCAAAAAAGACACTGTATTTTCATACTGACAGTAAGGAAAGTGATATGGACTAACCAAACATGCTTAATCCTTGGCGGAGATACTGGGGATTCTCTGATGAGAACATGGCTGAATAAAATCCTTGATGTTTCTCCAAAAAAAATAATAATGATATGTCCTTTTAAAATCTCCTTTCTACAACACACACAAATCCAGGTAAGGAAACATTTCTAATCCAAAATCTTGAGCTGAAATTGTCTGGAAGCTCACAGATGTCGACAAGTGCTCAATGGTGTCTGTCCGTTTCATCCCTACAGGTTGCAGTCATCATTCACAATTATTACTGCATCACCCCCCTGCATCATGAGGCTTTGAAGATGTGGCATAGAGAGGTATCCTTTTTTATTCCAAAGCGAGCAAAAATGAAATATGTCTGTCAAGTAGAGTCCATCTCTCCGTCCAGAATGCCGCAATCTAATAACTTACACAGAGCAATCAAACATCGGTGGACAAAATGTACTATAAACGATTACAATAACATACAAAACTTAAGTTACATTTGTAAGAATGAAACAGTGTATAGACGACCCACTGAAAAGATGATTATGATGGAAGAAAAGGTTCCTCCTCCCTTTGGTCTAATTACCCCCGATGCCCTCTCTCCCTGTTTGTTTACATTACTACAGCAGCTCGGCCATGAAGGGGTTAACAAGGCCTTGAGCCCATCCACGGCCTGGATTACTACATGCGCCCGGAAACTACGCAGTCGTTCAGGGCCATCTTAAACCTTCGTCTGCGGTTAAAGCAAAGCTGCAGACAGGTGGGCTCGGCAGGTATTAAGAAGCACATAAAGCCTCCGAGTCAAACAGCTAAAGGGCTGCTGTAAGAGGGCACCGTATCGATCAGACTAAACTGCACTGCAACAAGCAAATAGGGACGATCAGAGATAAGGTGATTCGTCTAACTTGGAAGAGGAGCGTGAGAATCTGCTTTTTGTCCAAGTATGCACTGTTTACTTAAACACCGACTACTTTAATACGCTCTGATTTATATAATAAACCACATAGACTGTGATTTAGCTGTCTCTTGCAACAGCCGGAGCCTCAAGTGCACCGCTCCAAATTGGACCAACCTCTCGGGAACGCCCCTGGTCGTGCACCAGCAGCACAGACAGAGGCAAAAGAAACGCAATTGTTCTCATGTCTCAACTACAAAGGCGTATTCACATATACATGGCTGCCAAAATAATCCGGCGAGGACTGTTTGACAAGTGCATTACACCAAATACTAACTTGTTTTTCCCATTACTTGACCCGAGAATTGCACCATGCACCTGTCTTAACCTGAAAATTTAGTTAACACCTGCCAAGATACAAAATCACCATTTAAAAATAGCGATCAACTTGGATTTAACCTTGTTTACTACGCATAAGCAGATGTCGTTGACTGTAAATCTGGTGCATTCATCCATCACCCAGTGCTTACAAGCCCGCTATCCATCAGCTTGATTATCAAGAGAGCAAACAAACAATATCGTCCCCTCTGCTGCTAGCTAATGCCTAGCTCATCTCTGTACAGTTTACCATCCCATTTCCTACCTGGCCAATCTGGCCACAAACCTCACGTTAGCTAGCAACTGATGAGACTACAACACAGCGATAAAAGCGAGCACGGTGAGCACTCCTGACTCCACTCAGCGAGGGGGAAAAGGGAGATGAATCGCTGTTATATTTCTCTTTTCTCCTCCTCCTCGGACAAGCTCTCAAGGCAGCAAACGAGTGGCTGGTTGAAGATGCCCGAATACAGCACCAGAAGCCGACGAGGGGTGGAGGGGGGCTTTAAGAAGAACCGATACAGTAGGTTTGGTTAAAGCCGTTGGTGAGGTCCGTCCGTCTGCAGCAGGTTAGCTAGCCACTTCGTGCGGACGACATCGGCGCACACACCGTCCAGCCCGCGTAGGATACCTGGAGTTATGAGTGTTGTTTTGGTCTAGAAAAGTCCTCGTATCGCATCTCCACAGCTCCCAGCCCGAGTTTACTCCCTTATTTTAGTCTCGTTCTCTCTCTCACAAGCCTTGGCCCTTTCTTTCTCTTTCCCTCCCTCTTCCTCTTGTTGTAAACTAGGCTTCTGCCCCCCCCATCCCCCGTAGTCGTCGCCCTCCCCTTCTCGTCCTGTCAACCTCGCCCAGCCTTGTCCCGCCTTGCTAGGCGAATTCCGCTCGGCTATTGGGCAAAGCAGCCACTCGTCATCTGCCCGCCGCGAACCCTGATTGGTCAGCGTGTGCACTGGAATGCCAGTCATATGCAAATTTCACCCGGCCTCACGGACAGCTTCTCTTCTCACCACAAAAACTGAACTTAACCTAAATACACAATAATAGTAAACAAAAAACGCAATATAACTTTACTACATTCACAGGAAAACACTTGCTGGCGTTGGAGTAATGCCTCAAAAGTGTGTATTTTTTATGTTTCTTTCAATAAGCCCACCCCAGTTTTATGTCATTGGTGCAGGATTCGTAGTAAACCTTGAATGATGTGTGAATGAACGAATCAAAAGCCGACACTCAGATATAGGCCAACCAATGGCTTAACAGAAGTTCGATGCGATCCCTCCTTCTTACAAATGCTTTAATACCCATAAAGACCATCTAATGCAGGGAGGCGCTAGTGAGTTTGCTTGCCACGCTGCCTGTGGTCTCTCTATGCCATCTGCACAAGGGAAGGATGTTGATGAGGGCTCTGAGGTCAAGATGCATGCATATCCATACCCACTAAACTTATAACAGTATGCAGGGTCATTCTGCCTGTTATTTGAGTCTTTCACAAAGTTGGTCCATGCAAACATATATGCTGGCTGTATTATAAATCAGCAATATTCACTTCTGAGAGGGATTGTAAACCCCTTCTTGGGTAATGTCATAATTTGCTTTTAGTAACGCAGCTAACAGTAGGGAGGCAAGTGATGTAATTTTCCACCATAAAAAGCCCTTTCAAATCCCCAAACATTTTTCCATCTCTCCATCATGCAAATGTGCCTCCTCCAGACAGAATTTTAAATGTTCTGATGCAACACTGGCATGGAGAGGAGAGAGAGAGAGAGAAAGAGACAGAGAGGAAGAAAAGAATTGAAAACAGGAGAGTAGGGGTGGTTAGAAAGAGAGGGAAAATGGGTGGAACAGGCTAAGAGTGGAGAGGACCAGAGGGTAAAAATAGACTGAGAGTCATTTTCAGCAGGAGAGGCAGGGAAGCAGGGAGGGAGGGAGGGATGTAGGAGGGTGGGTGGGTGGAGAGAAAACAACTTGTGAAAACAGAACTTCTCTTAAAAGGAGGAAGGGTGTGGGGGGCCAAAGACGGGGGAGACAAAGGGAAAACATTTAAAGATACCTATGTTGTGTAAGTACAACACAGCTACACAAAGGAGGACTTGCACATATGATAAGGTTTCTCCTCATACGACATGAGTCAGGAAGTCTTTCTTAGCTTAGTTCATGTATCCATAAGACAAATACAATACTGGGAGAGACTTAATTACCACTATAAGCCAGTCGGCTCATCAGGAGCTTGGGAACTGACCAATGAGGTTGTGAGAGCTACTGGCAGCCGCTGTCCTCAGTAGTAAAAAAGTTAACCCATTCAGTCCCTGGGTTACAAATCTTTCAAATCTAGATTTAGATCAGTGCCACTATACAAAAACGTGAGTGGGATAAAAAGCAATATTCTGATGATATTCTTCAAACAAAAAGAAGCATCTTTGCAATGTGCCTATGCTCCACCTCAATACGTCACTCAGCTCTCATGTGCCTCTCTCTTCTGTCTGCTGGCACCAGCAAAGCATCTTGCATCATGTAAAAATATGGGGGGGGACTGTCTGTTCCTCTTTTAAGCCTATAGGGTTTTTTTTTTTTTTAAGAAAGGGTTAAACTAAAAGGCATTAGAAGAAGAGACAAGGAGAGAGAATAAGAGATTAAGGCTTATCAACTACACTGAGCTCTCAACAAGTCAATCCAGCAAACACAGTGTGTTAAGGGGAGGGAGTTGGACAGCTTGGCTGAAAGGAAAAGAGGGTGAAATAGGGCAGGGGTGGAGATGTGGGATTACTGTGGCTGCTCAGTGGTTACAACCCTGGGTAAACATTACAAGCCCTTAGTAATGAACTACATCTGACCAATTATTCACAGCAGAGTAATGAGCTTTCCCTTTA